ATAAAATATACGGTAGAGCAAAGATCCGGCGGGCGCTGAGTGTTACCAACAGATACAGCCTGCGGCCTGACATGCATCGCGTCTGCCCGCAATTGAATGCAATTAACTAGTGTGAACATTTATTTTATTAATGCACTAGTTTATTACAGAGAGTTGATATTGTATATCTGTACTAATATTATAAAAAGTAAAGATTTTATTCATTCATTTATTCTTCATTAAATATTAAAACAATAAAACTTTGTACAAGTGGCGAGCTCAATGCCATATGGCATTCTCTATCACCTTATCATTAGGTAAAACTAAAAGTGTATAAAAGACAGATGTTGCGAAAAATATGTGACATAATTATAGTAACATACTGAAATAATTATATATATATATATATGAGATATAGTAACTATTGAATAACTAGTAATTAGAGCTGGTTTTGTTATTTTATTTATTGTTTGTTTGTAATGGATAAAGTGAAAAACTATTCAAATTATATTAAAAATACTTTCTATATTATCAGCGAGTAACATAGGCTATATATTATTTTAAATTCTGTCTACCCGTGCAAAGTGGAGCCGGGTTGATAATATTTTATATTATAAAGAATCTGACCGTCAATTCAATTTATTACATTTAGTAAGCATACGAGACTATAATAAATTTAATTTTGGTCAGAATTTCTGAAACCAGACGATGTACAAATACGTATAATCTTTATGGAAACAGTCACTTTCTACCATCGTACGGCTCGCCATCGACAGGGAATTCATCCACATGTCCTACAGCCTCAATGGTCGTGTACAGCGCGATTTCAGAGATGTTTCCTCCCACGAACACTCAGGTTATAGAATGAGCTCCCTGCCGAAGTTTTCCCAAGAGCCTGGGGTTCTTCAAAAGAGGGGTAAAGAGGTTTCTTCAGGGTCGGCAACGCACGCGTAATGCCCTGGTATTACAGGTGTCCATAGGCTACGGTAACCACTTACCATCAGGTGGGCCGTATGCTTGTTTGCCACCTTAGTGGTATAAAAAAAAGCAAAGCAATAAAATACATAAACAATATAAAAAGAAAATCGTAAATAAGATAATTTTATTATTTTAATTTAACCGGTAAACTGCTCTTCATTCGCGATGAATATGCGACCGACATCACCGCGGATAGCTGTGAACAATAATGAAATTGGACATTAATTAGTATTTATTTCTGTTTGATAAATAAGTTTATATTTAATTGAAGTTGTACTTAAGCTATATAATACTTTTAATACAGATAATTCCAACAATGACTCAACATATGGATTTGTTTTGGATATAAAATGAAAATGCGTTTACACAGCAGGACTATTTTATGATCAAGGCTGTAGTATGCCCATTGCGTCTACTGCATCATTGCAAATAGATTCGATTTTATTATTATTATGTGGCATTTGAATTTTTTTTTTTATGATATTGAAATAATAACCCATATTGCGCTTTTCATTTATGCGGGCCAGATTGGTACTAACTGGTGTCAAGGTTAATCAATCGAATAATAATAATCGAATAAAAATAATATGAATTTACCAAGAATTAACTACAATGTTTTCTGACAGAACTCGTGAAAATCGATTAAACAGAATATATTGCTATCAATGAAGACATTACGATATGTATTAGGTACGAGTAGTATTAAAAAAATACATGATTAGAACTTTTGCTTTTTAATAATTTATCTATTTATTTATTAATAACATATACCATCAAATAGATGCATCGCTATATCATTCAATATTTATATTTATCTATAGTAATCTACTTTGCAATATGGGATGAATCAATAAATACAACCTTTATCTCGTATGTAAATTAAACAGCGCACTTTGTGGTTACGCTAAGTAGCTTGTATTACTTTGTAATCAAAACCCGCAGTATATGGGTATCCCATCATTAACGTATTTTATAGTAAAATCCTTACTAATACTGTAACAGAACATTTATTTATTTTATTTATTTAACACTTTATTGCACCAACATTACAGGATTTGTTAAACAATTTTCGATAATTTAAAATTAAATTCGTCACTATTATCATGATTTGGTACTCTTTCTAATGGATTAACCAGATGAGAAAGTAGATGCAATGACTTCGGCACATGTATTAGCTTTATTTTACATAGCTATTAAAAAGAATTTGCCAAAAAATAACCAGTTTTAATATCAGTCAAAGCGATATTGAGGCGTCGTTAAGCAAAAGACAGATTAGACCAGACGAAAATATAGACACACTGACCTTAGTACTTTTTCAGAAATACATTGCATACGCAAGAAGATATTTACACCCAAAACTTAGTGTCGAAGCAGCGAATGCATCGCAAGAATATTATACAATATATGAATGCGAGTTTGTTTGTTTATATGTTACTTCTTATCGTCTTAACTGTTCAAACGTCATAAATTTTAACATACATTATAACATTTCGCATAAAAACTATATTTATATTGGTCATGCGTGACAAAATTGTGGTCTCAGGTATGTGAAAAAAACAATAAAAAATTTAAAGTTTCTCATACCAACTTTAGCAAGACAAACCATATTAGTACTGAGAATATCATTATTTTATTTTAAATACTGTATTAAATAATATAAATAACTATGATTCAGCCTATATAATAACACAAGGGAAGCCAGTGAAGAATGCTTGTTCTTTCTTAGTTTAACAAATAAATCAATTGTTTTTCATTTATTAAACAACGGTCAGCTAAGTATAAAATGACTCCATAAGAACAAATGATTTTCTATTTTTATGCTAAACAGGAACACATAATGTTGTAGTTCATATCATTTAAGTATATAAATAAAATTTTTATACCTAGTAGATATTTTAATACTTAAAACTTAATATGAAACATCCTCGGGCACACATACTAAACTGTCTGTATAAGAAATTAACACGTAAGGCGTCTAACAACATATGAAATGTATAAGGGATATTTGTTTGTGAAAATTAATCTAAACAAGTTACTATACACGTTATTAAGTTATTGTTGACTTTATTATATGGAATAGAACCCCTCCGTTTTCTTAGAAAATTATCTTCGATGTTGTTCAGGGATCTTTAAGAATTTCATCAAAATCCGGCAAAATCTTTTTTGCGCCGTATTGCGTAAAAATCATCCGTACGCTCTCGTGCAAACATATCATATCACATAGTCGTAGAATACTGACGGATCTGACAAATATTACATATATAGATCCGTCAGTATTCTACGACTATGACGATATGTGACGCACTACAGCGACGGGGTAGCTCTAACAGTGTTCTAAAGGCATTATTATATTGGACCCAAATAGTATTGTGTTTTTATTATAGTTGACCCACAAGCTACTCGTGTAAAATACCTGACAAAAAGCTTTAAACAGGACTTTGACTTGTTTTATACACCTAGCAAATCTGCGAGCCAACATGTTACTTCTAACTGCCAATGCTCTTCTTTCGCGTTCTATGTCCAAGTCATCTTTCAAAGTACTTGCAATAATGTATCCGAGATATTTAAAATCAGTTACTACTGCAAGTACATTTCCATTAAGTGATATAGGAAGCACATACTTCAGTTTTTTACTTAATCATATGGGCAAAGCTTTTGGATGTAACTAGTGAATAATATATATTACAATTTATTGTATATACCTGTCTTCCATATTATCAATAGTTATTAGTCATTTATTAAAAAAAAAAACAATGTGCATTGTGTTTGAAATTGCATAAGATTCTACAAAAGAAAATATAAAGTACAAAATTATATGTAAGACATAGATTAATAATCAAAATCTGCTTGTATACCTACTCTATGGTACAGGTATACAAACAAATTTTGATTCGCAACGAACAATTTCTTTTTTACAAATGGCAGCTTCAGTTGTCACAAATTGAATATGAGATTAAAAAGGGAGTAATCCCTATGGATCAATTTGTTTGGGATTACTTACATTTAAATCTAACAATTTGTTCATAACTGACTTATGTAACCAATTATAAACAAATAATAACGAAATCATCATGAAAATATACAGACGAAAAGTGAACCTGCTTTAGGCAATTGTTTAAAATATAGAGTGTACGATAGTGTAGATAGATACATAATCTTTATTATGTATATCCTACAAAAAATTACAGTAGTAAACTTATTATAAATACAAACAATTACAAAAAAAAAGATCATACTGAGAAAACAGTAACGTATATTGCACGCTTAGGTTACACTATATCGATATAACGAGATACTATTTTAAAATTTCAAAATATTTTGTAAATTTTTTTTAATAGATATGGGGTACTTCTTAACTAACATAATACTTATTTAAACTGAAATTGGATTACTTAGATCAGCTCTTTTAGTTATTAAAATAATCAAGCGTGAAGTTATACAAGAGATGGTGATATCTTTATACCTAATAAGCATTTTATATCATTATCACATCAGCCTTTAACTGTCCACTATTATTCATTCTCGTATATTATCTATAGGTAATAGAATTTTTAAAATCGATTAAATAATTTTTGAGTTTGTAACATACATACAAATAATCAAATCTTTTCTTTTTATAATCTTAGTACAGATATTATATTATATTGTATATATATATCTTGAGACTTAAATTAATTTCAATTTGTACTAGAAAGAACATAGAAACAATTAGTAGATATGTTGTCCTTTACATAACCAGTCTACCATAAACCCAATTCTGAAGTTTCGGATCCGAATTTCATGTGTACGATGAAATACCTATATATTCATATCGAATTAACCTACAGATGAAAAGTGATATTTAAATTAAGATTTAATCGACCTACCATAAATTTTATAAATGATAGCATTTGTAACAAATTGCATGAATTTATTTTAATTGTTTTTTTTTTTTTTCTTGTAAATAATGGAGTTATTTTTATATTAGAAAAAAGACATATGGTAAAGACGCACTACACAATTTTTTTACTATCATTTCTTTGATTCTTGTTTTTTTGCCCTAGGTTTTATATACAAGGATTGCAGTGGGTCTGTGGCAAAGCTCCAATAGCCTGCAGCAACTTGGTAGAGTCCAGTGCTGTGCGACTCAGTGCCCGCGTGTGGAGAAAAGCGCGCAAACAAACTTTGAGCCCCAACGAACGTTCATCGGCACCACTGAAGCCAAGGTAAACGAATGATGATACTAGAATACTTAAAAAGTAGGATACGATTAACAATGTATTAATGTATTTAATACTAGTTGTAATTTATGGCTTTGCTAGGGTTAAGGGGTAATGTAATACGCAACTAGATATATTAACAAGTACAAAACTTTCCAATCTATTAACTCATTCAAACGTTATTACATGCTTTCACATTTCTGAATCTGTTATATTTTTAAACCTTTATTAAGACAATAAAAACAAAAGAACAGACGTTATTCATCGGTTAATCGCCATAAAAAAAATGAAAACGCAATATCATAAGAAACGAAAACATTAAGTAAGGCAAACATTGTGCTTTATAAGCAATTCTAAATACCTATATCAACAACGAAATCTTTAAACAAACAGATATTTTAACTATACATTTGTAGTGTGTGAAGGATTGGCGAATGGTACCTAATAGAAATAACGAACATATCCGAATTAATAAATGATAGAGAATGAATGAATTACAACCCATATCATACGAAAATATGTAATTACTGCTCATTTCTGTAAGTATGGTAAGACACTATTAAACTCGGGCAACCTAATCTTAATAACATTTGAGTTCTCCAATTTCTATTGGTTGGCGGATAACCATCCGCCAAGACTAGAGTTTAGGCTGAAACCTTCTGCCTTTCCTAATGGCGAGAAAACAGAACCGAAAAAATTACGTTAATTAAAAAATGGAATAAACATAACTTACAAAACAATAATTTTTAAATAGGTGTTTATTTGTTAGGATCTTTTTGACGTCTCTATTAAAATTTGTTGTAAATATGTGGAATAATGGACATCGGAAATATTTAACTTTCAAAGTATTGATTTTTAATTATTTATTCCTCAACATTTGTTTGATTCCGCCCAATTCAATCTTAATTATGAGTTCTTTATCTAATAAAAAATCATAATGAAATTCGATAACAAATAATGAGAATCCGAGCCCGATTTATTACTTCTCAAAGTATTACAAGGTTTTAAGAAAATCTTACAATATGTCGTTTTATCAAATAAATTTTATTAAAAATTCACGAAATGACTCGCAAATCTCTCGGAAAAGGAGGTCCCACAAAATCTCACCACAGGAGAGGAGGATGCAAATTAAAAAAAACCTCACATAATTAATGGATGTCCTCTATTGTTATAGAAAATTTCAAAAGCAAAAAATATTTTGCGACAAAGCCATTGACGTGATCAACCGAAAGAGCGAACAGTAGAAATACCATACAATTTACACTGTGAATAATTTCACGGCAATTTCCTGAATGTATATAATATTTTTATTTGTTGTTCCAATGACAAAGTTACATTTTCATTTAAACGTCGTTACAATAGGTAGGTATCTACCTATTATAGCATAGATGTTTAACTTCAATTGATGTGAAATTTTGTACATTCTTCTAATATTATAAAAAAATGTGAGCAGGGTGTACATTACCTACGTTCCTATAAAGACAAGATTCAACAAATGCTTTTGATTATCTACAATCGTGAACATGTGTAGGTATAATAATTATCCATGTCAACTTTACTCACGTTGGAAATTCGAGAATGTTCGACTAATTTCGAACTGAACTTGAATTTACCTTTATGAGTAAAGTGAACATAAATAATTACAATACAGTCTGACTCACATTATTCATTCTTGTATATTATAAATATAAAAATTTGTAAAATGTTGGAAGTTTGATACTTAATCAGGCTTAGTTCAAATAGAATGGTTCGGAAAGAAGACTTAGTTTTGATCGCATTTAAATTAAGTTTACATTTAGGATCAGATTTAATTTAAATAAGGTTTTTTTTTTTTTACATTTCACTTTATTGTCAGCTCTAAAGCATTTTTATATAATAAAAAAGTTAGATGTTAAAGTAAACCTCATTTCAATGACCTTAAACCCCTATTTTAAATGCGACATAAATCTGTTTTCCTCTCCAAGCCGATAAATGGGACAGTTACACGGCTGAAAGAATTTTAGTTTGGATTTATAATAATAAATAATTCTAGCATGCTCTTTAAGAATGCTAGCATATCACAGTGTATTTTGTGATGTTTCTAATAATATTCATGTCTATAGGCAATGGTTACTGTTATCCTAACCAAAAACATTGCGCGAACGCTTTACGAACTATTCCTTCATATAGTTAGTTGGTTTTAATGTTTTTTTTTTTTGTAAATAAGTGGCAATAGACAATGGACGATTTAGAGATCACTATTATGAATTTGTAATTTGTTCTGCAGAGACATCATCAACGTTTTCTCACTAATTGCTTTTTGGTAAAACAAAACAATATTTGCTGCCGTAAATATAAACCGTATTTGCTGTCAATAATGAATATTGACAGCAAATACGGTGTAAGTATGACAACTACTGACAAGACCCCCTTTATGGGGAGGAGTCTGTTCAATTTACAGTTGATATGATAACATGATGATAGGGCAACATTCTGATTTTCAATTAAAAAAAAGCTGTCAGATTGTTTTTCATAACTAATCGTAGAAATAAAAATAGTACATTACTGCAGCAGCCAGCAACTGTGCCAAGACTTGTATAGTACTTTTCTCAAACAATGCGCGGAAATCAAAAACACAATTTTACTTTTTCACTTCTCACGCGCCATAATGTCCTTTGTTTTTTTTTTTTCAATAAACAGCTTTCTATTTGTAAGCCAATTCGAAATTTAAATAAAACCTTTTATTAGTTACTTCCTTGGTAGCCATGTTTCGAAGTAAAAGGTCATTCCATTTTTAAATTACAGGTCAGATATGAGTTTACATGGTAATTTATCTGGCCGCAAAACACGACAGATATGGATTTTCATACAACTTTTGCCGGCCGCTGCCCGCATGTATCTAGCCAGTACGGCAATTTTGATTTATCTCGAAGAAGATTGTCAAAATAATGCTCACATTTCCAAGCACGCATAATAACGGCAGATACTATCCTTAGTATATAGTAAAAAATAAATGACTCTCCTTTATATATCAGAACCAATCATTGAGCATAAGATGTTGTTTTTATACATACATTCCTGTAGGTATCCTTACCTATTAAGAAAATTTATTCTAAACGAGTTGGAAACGGGCGATAACGGGTTACGGACGAGCGACTCGCTTTTACATCTAGGTATAGCAATTAATGACACAGAAAGGTTACGCCTATATTATTAACTTAAATATACGATAACGGAACAAAAAGTAAATACTCGTATTGTACTCGTATACTAAAATACTGTTATATCCTTAATAAGGTGGGTGGCTATTTTAGGACATTACTTGTACCCTATATAATTTATTGAAAAACAAGCTTTAACGTTCTTTATTATAATCATCAGAATTATTATTGACATATCTAAACGAATGAATGTGAAATCTAATGACACAGTAGTATATATGTATATATATGTATGTGTAAAATTCCTAAAGAAGTTCTCAGTTTGGTTGTATTATATATATTTGTTACCCCATAGGTTATTCATTGTTAAAATCTGGTGCATATTTTCTCTTGATATTTATCCAGAAGTGGTCACATTCATAACCCATAACTACGAAGTTGCGGGCTAAAGCTAGTTTCAAATAATATCATTTTAATAAAAAAATATTATATTATTTAAACATAACTTATAAATAAACATTAGTTTTCCTTCCCGGTTATTTAGGTATTCTTTTTAGCACTTGTTGAAAAGTGAACTATCTCTGAAAGTCTCTCGAGATTTATGCGTAGATACTACGACGTTATTACATTAAACTTGTACAGGGTACGGATGTACCCTGAATGGAAAAACTAAAACTTTCGGTCGCATTACATATTCCACACGGAATGGATAACCCTCGTAATTTTTTGAATACTCTTTTACAATAAAAATATAACTTTAATTTAGAAAAAAAACCTTTCACAAAAATACAACGTTTTAATTGTAATACACATAATACTCGGATATTTGGAAACATATGAAGAATGTGATAATAAATAATTTAAACCCCAGGCATTATAAATATTATATACAGTTATATTAGTACAGTGCTTTACAGAGGTATTTTTTTATTTTGGCTTAGTGTTACATAACAACGCTACCTACTGTGTTATTGATTTAACTTTTACCTTTGTACCGAAACATCGCTAATAAGATAAATTCCTTTGTTTAGAAAATATCCTTAGATACTAATTAGATGTGTTGATAATAGTTTTTTCTCACAAAAGAAGGAACTTGTAAAAAAGACGAAAACTTAATCATCTGAACTCGAACCGAGGTTTTTTGGTTTTCGGACAGCCCGACTTTTATAGATTGTGGCGAAATTTACCTTCGAATTCTAATGAAATTGCAGGATTTTTTTCATTGCCTGAAAATACAGATAAATCGACGTTTTCTAAAAATCAAACCTAGTTAGATAGAATAATAGCTTACAAAGCCCCCTGCGTACTAACTTTTACGAAAATCGTAGGAGCCGTTTCCGAAATTCAATATAATTATATATACAAGAATTGCTCATTTAAAGGTATTTGATAATATTTGTCACTAGCAAAGATATTTTTTACTATTATTTTTATTTCAAAATTTAAAACTTATAACAAAATTTTCTCGTCTTATATACTCAAAATAAATAAACTATTCCAATAATACGGACTCATTAATAATTTGTACTTTTGTTTTTTCTCGTAATTTCTATTAACAATTGTTTATACCGTTGATTATCTATAATCAATAAATAGTATTTTTTCCTTGCTGTTCATCTTTTACACATATTTTCGACTATGTATTTGGTATTGAATAGAATATCTAAACAAAGTTTAAATTGTATAATGTTTCGTACATTGCTTATATACCTAAAATATTTTATTACATGAATTATACAGATTGCCAATAACATGTATTGCCGTGTGATCTCAGCACAGAATAGATGGCCTATTTTGTGCCTTTCCTTTCCTGTGGATGTCACAAGAAACGAAGAAGAAATAAAATAATATCAATAAGCTCTTACATTAAATACACTCAAAAAAAACACAATCGATTTAAGAAATCTACTTATCTTTTAAATAATTTAAAAAGACTATTACTTTTTCTAAAACTATTATCGTAATACAAAGAGTAGTGACATTTTTAATTCCGAGTAAATAGCTCTCAGTCTCTGTCGATCCAACTGGGAAAGTATCTTTAGCCGAGTAAATATAGAAAATATTTACTCGGCTAAAGATACTCATAGTTTATCGTATCAAATTATGCTCGTATCACTAACTTCAATTTTTGAGAAACTCCTATTATTTCTCTTTAAGGTTCAACTCTGTTATTTTACATACTCATTAAGAACTGGAGCGTCATTTCGTAATCGTCTAAATGACAAACAAATTTGACTACTTATCTAAAAATGATAACGGTGTTATTATAGTAAATATAACACAGTACCATAAATATCACAACATTAACGTCTGTCTAATGGATCATTAAAACCAAAAAACACAGCTTAAGGCTAAACATAGACATTGTTTGGCGGTAGAATCATAAAGTGAAATACTAGTAACCATGCAAATAACTTTGTACAAAATCTCTTTATAGCATAGGGCTGATGAATAAAAACAGAATATTAATAATAATCTTCTAATTATCAGTTACCTTAACCTATGGGTCAAGTACGTGTTAGCTTGATTTCCATTAAAAAATATAATATGCAGGATGATATTAAATTAAATGAGTTAATTAAGGAGATTGTGTTTTACGTTGTAACTCCTGGATGTTTATCTCTATAATTAAAATCTTATCAGACAACATTCGTTTGAAATAAGCAATACAAAACCCAAGACATTCTATCTTCTTTATCTGATTATTATTGTACAAATTTCTTAACATCCAAATATAGAAATTTGAATTAGATATTATTTAGTTTTTTTATTTTGTATTTATCACCAACCATACGTATTAATTTTTTTTTTTCTGCTAGTTTAGTGTGCAATTGTTATATTAAAGAGTTTGCGAGTCGTTGCTTGAATAAAATTTATTAGTAGGTCTAGAATAATAAAGATTGTGTTCTCTGAAAAGAACTGACATTAAACGAGGCAAAACCAATTATTTTGATTTAAAAATTAAATTACTTACCCGATTTTGATAAAACTCTTTCAGATAAAAAAAATCTATATCAGTTTACAACTGACGGAGTTTTGTAGAAACAAACATAAAACAAATAGCTGGTATAATTATTTTGATTCATTTAGTTATCCAATCTTGTAATTTAGATATATTTTTTATACAACTTAGAATGTCAAACAAGCTGACTTCCCACCTGAGGGAAAGTGGTAACTGTCGCCATAACACGAGCATTATGTTGTAATAATCCAAATGCATTGTCAAAATTTTATGAATAAATAATACTAATGAGATATAACTGAACTTCGAGCTTATATTTCATTTTATATTTCTAAAATATAAAATAAATTATTATAAACTTATAAATAAAAAAATGTGTCTATTAAAATTAATCAAATTATAAAATTGAGAAAGGTTTTTTTAAAGTACTTACACTTAAAATTTACACCTAGTGATAAACTTATACACTAAAAGCATATCTGCTAAAATGTTTGTCTTAATTAAAAAAGGCACTTAAACTTCCCTGTTTGAAACTAATTTTATGCTCATCATCCCTCGGTCCTTTCCCGTTTCCCTTATTTAGTATAAAGTATAACTTTTAAATAGCCTTTAATAAGGAATATTACAAAATATACATGAAAAGAAACTTAGGTAAATAATAAGTAATACAGTTAATATAATTTTATAAGCACTTGTTTACAACACAAATTAAAAACAATCGTTAATGTAACTATTATACTTTCTACATTTAATACAAATACCATTAAATACCTTTTAGAATTTTAATAACTACGCAATATTTTCACCAACCTATTTATGCGAAAGTTATTGTAATAATAAAAGCTATGTAATTTTTCACTTTGAAAATAATAATTATACCAAATCAGATTAGATACGTATCTCTGGGGACAAGACAACTGACTTGAAAAGCTGTTAATAATTAAATTATCGAGAAATTCCTAATTCTGTACCTAAAAGAGCTATGAATAGTATTTAAAATTTATAAATCAACAACTGTAGAGATAATGTTAAATAGGTGATCTGATTACAACTGCATACGTCACCCTACAAAAAGTGGGAGGTAATAATGTCTATTATCTATATATTGGTTACACAATTATTCTTAAATGAGAATATCTTGCATTAACATACAAGGAATTCTTTATCACGTAAGCAAAACCGCGCAATTAAGCATAAACTTAATAATAAACACAGTAAAATCTCTGATATCATGTGTTGTTACTTTCGAGGATTAAAACATAATTTTTCCCATGGCACTGATTAGTATAGGACTTCACACATATACATAAGTAAATAGACGGTGCAAGTACTTTAATTTATATGAAAACTAACTACCTGTTTTGATATTACAAAACCCGTTTATAAACCTTCTTTTGGAAACTCCCTTAAAATATATTATTTGTATTGCTATTTTGATTAAATTCAATCCATTAGATTTTTCTTGAAGTTATTTTCATATTAGAACTCCAAATGTAAATTTAGTTTTGGTTTTAATTAGTTTGATTAAGTCGTTTTGAACCTATTCAATGTAAATACGATTATAACACTGATAAAAATCCATGTCTAATCTAAAAATAAATTGAACTATTCTTGTATTGTGTGTATATGTATTTTAGAAACTGAAAGTCATTTCGTTTATTGTTCTAATTTTCTTTTTTTTTTACACAGAAAACCATATCAATGAACGTCAAAATCAACAATCAGAAGAAATGCCGTAAACATGAATCACGAGATTGCCACCATCTCAGCCATTTGTCGCGTAACGTGCTTCGTGCGCGGCGAGGCGTCGTGCGGATGCTCATCGTAGTCGTTCTCACATTCGCAATATGCAACTTGCCCTTCCACGCTCGGAAAATGTGGCAATATTGGTCCAGTGGCTACCAAGGCACCAGCGACTTCAGCACTTTGCTCACACCACTCACGTTTCTCATAACATACTTCAACTCAGGCATAAACCCTCTACTATACGCGTTTCTGTCGAAAAACTTCAGAAAAGGCATGAAGGAACTATTATGTTGTAAATATTACGCAAAGAGGAAAAGTGAGAATTTAATCTTACTTAATCCCGTTGGAGGCGGAGTGCTGAGGCGAAGCTCGACTCGTTCGACCCGCGCCAATTGCAGCACAGTCACTATGGCACCTAATGCGGACTCATGAGATTTGCGTCGCCGGCGTTTCCTCTACAAAGTGGAGAATATGGATATTTCCTGATTAACGGAGAGCACTGACGAGGTAACCGACAGTAGCGGATTTTACACCGTCTCCACTATATCAAAACGTGATTTGTATGATTAAAGTAGATCTAACGATTTCGGACATTTAAGACGTAACGATTAATTATAATTCTAATAAAAAACTCTTTAAGAAATAATAGAAATTAGTGATCTCATGAGCTTAAAATACTATTTTTTATTACTGTAAATGCATGCATATTTTAATATCATATCATAAGTGATTCGTTAACTTTAGAAACGTACAAAATTAAATAGGTATAACAATTAATTTAATTTAAATAAAATAAATGTATACCGAAAGACTAAATTGTAATAAAAACATAAGTACGATATTTGAAATATGGCATTGTTTTAAAGGAATAATTTTTATATGTATACATACTTAGAAATATTTGTAAATAAGTTCGTGTAACCTTTTTAGAAGTATTTCATAATTATAATATGTATAACATTTGACAAATTGTTAAACATATTAGTTTTTATAAGGTAATTGTTGTCCTATATAAGGCAAGACATATTTAATACGATGTAAAGTTGAGTTCTGGTAAGGTCTATTAACTGGGTTTAATTACTTAAATAATTTTATCGCTGTAGGTACTTTAATGTTGTACTTGGTGTTACCTGAAATTTTGAAATTGAACAAGTTTTTGTTGAAGTCTTATTGAGTAAAGATGATAGATTAATATTATTTCGTGATATTCAAGATAATATCAGTACAACGATTTTTCATTTCCCGTATTGCCTCCCTCTTATGTCAATACTTTTTAATTTAAATTTAATTTAAATAATATGATTGTACTATTAATACTTATACATTAATATTTTAATATCCTGAAACTGCTTAGATATATTGCATCTTTATGCATATTTTACTGAATAAATTATGGAGAGTTATCTCAGTAATTGTTCGGACTGATACCTGCCGCTGATTTTCACCACTGTACAACTCGCCACAAACTAAAGTTTCATCCCAACTATCTAGAAGAGTGATAGTCCTCTATCGTGCGTTTTTCAAGATACTTTCTTCTACGCACAACAACGCTTTGGAATCAAATCCAACAGCAGTATTTCCGCATCTATATGACACATAACATTCAAGAAAATAGTATATTTTTTTTAAAAGGCCGACAGCACACCTGCAATGCCTGTGGTGTTGCGGGTGACTATGAGCAGCAGTTGTCGCATACCATCAGGTGAGCCGTATGCTCATTTATCCCCTGTGTTATAAAATAATAATAAAAATATTTATAGCTACATTGGCAACTAATATATAATATTTCGAAATATTTATTTAAATAAATAAGTATCATGCAAATTAATCCTAAAATACCGTAAACATCAATATTCATTCATCCAAAAATAGATACGCGCCGGACGTGTTTACCCCTTCTTATTTTGAAGTCGATTAATTAATAAATTGAAGAGGGTTAATATCGAAAGTTGTCAAAATGTGGCAATAGTTATCTGTGAAATTTCAATTGATAATTTTTTTTTTTATTTTTCTGATTGATTATTTAAAAAAATACTCTATATACAAAATAAGCAGCACATAAACTATCCCTAAAAAAATACACATACGTAACTTTTTGCAAATCGAAATTTTTTTCCTATCAAAGTTTAATTTTCCTATGACAGCTTAATAAGAGTCTAGTTACATGGTTTGCATTTTATTTTCTTAACATAGCATATCATTTCTATTTCTCTTTTTTGTCAAAACTATTGAAAATTACTGAGTTATTTTCAAAAATTGATAGGTAATTTGACGGTACTATACTTCGATAAATTTAGTAGAAAATAAAAGAGCGTGTAATATAGCACTATTTAATTGTAAATATGATTTTACTACACAGCAACGTGGCAATATAGGGTAGATCCATACTACAATATGGGTATCGAAGCGCTATCAGACCTCACTCGTTCTGGTAAAACATTACATCAGAAACAACGTATATATTCATTTATTCATTGGAAAATCAACAGCTTATAATTTATAGCTTACTACAGTAAGGGTAAAATTCCATACTATAGTATGAACGAATATACATATTAATCGAATGTTTTAACTGATCAAACTGAGATCGGATCGAGTTTAATGTAAAATGTATCTTATGTCAATAAATATACGATACAATAATAAAATATACGATACAACTGAATAAAATTGTAATTAAACAGTTTTCAATAAAATATTTTTATTATTATTCAGGTAATTTAATATCATACAAATACAAATTTAAAAAAATATACTAATAACAATTTCAATCTTCATTGTTTATCTTCAAATAGTGGAATTTTATTTATTCGAGACCCTTTCTTCAATATTTAATTAGGCATCTGCAATGTGCCGTAACTCAAGCATCTGATTTTTGAAAATGATTTAATAAGGAAATTGCAGTTAATTTCAACGATTTTTTAGGGATTTCCAAAAGGAGGAAGTTCACAATTTATTTGATTTTTTGCGGCTGGATTACGTGGTTATTACGTCTAATAATTCTTTTCGCAATCGATAAGGTTCACACCTGTGTTGGTTCCATATTAAATTTGTAATGGCTATAACTACCTCTTTTCTTCGTAGAGTAAAACAACTGCTTATTACAGTAGTCATATAAATCTGCATTTAAAATTCAGATAGGTATTTTTAATATAATATTTTTACGAAACATCTTATTTGTTGTTCGCCAGTCAATACGCATGAAGGAGTCAAGCTGAAATTAATATCAAATACTCAAGTCTGCAATGAAGCTGTGAAAAAATTAAACATTTAAGTCAACGCAATCAAAAGATATGGCCGTTTATAGTATATATTTTGATATTTGCAAGGGAATTAAAACCCAGAGTACTTCTCGTTGACCTAGAATCATGAAACATGACATGAAGCAATGTCGTTCAACACAAGTATAGAAAATCCGAAAATCGTAATTTTGCACTTATATATCACAAAAATTGCAATTTTTTTTTTATTATTTATTATTTGTACCTATGAAATTCTCAGTGCGCAAGTCCAAGTCAAACTTGTCGTTTACGAATTATAACTTTTTTTACGAAGCATAATGTGATAATTAATTCATAATTCATATTCTTTTATAAAATTCATAACTATGCCAAATCAAATCCGACATAAATACCTACACAATCGTTGATAGAACTAAAATGGAAGTATCCGAAGCAGTCTACAAGTATGAAGGTTGATTTCGTGCACATTCTCCTGTAAGAGAGGATTACATTCAGTAATGGTGTCTAGCAGCTCAATTGTCTGGTCGACCACCACGTGGTCCGCCCTTAAAAACCATCGTGGTTAGATCCTAACAGATTCCCTACTACGTGTCAACTGATGCGACTTCATACTCATCTATTATCCCTCACTGATACTCCGCCAGCATATGCTAATAGCACAGGAGAAGTTACCATTCCATTTTAATGCCATAAAAATCTATTGTAATATCATAAAAGAGTCTTAGGATTTAGTTGTATTTGCGGCCTAAGGGATAAAATTTGTTCATACACTTTATTGGTTATGAGTATAATAAATATTTATCCTTAGTCTTGTAATGGGCAATCGCAGTTGCCAGTACCTTAAGAAAGAAGAAGACCGAACAGGCGGCGCCCAAGGATGTCAAGAGCCAAAGAAGAAAATTTTTTTGTCGGCGGTGGAGGCGCCGTCTAATATTTGCTCCCCTAATCGTGCTTAGGGCCTTAAATATACTATACTTAGCGCCCATGCACTAAGTACACTAAGACCGGCTCTGATAATTACTTTAGTTTTCTTTATTACCTACTTACACTAAATTTTTTTCACAAAGTAAGTGTAAATTATGATTATTTTATATTAATATTTCTTAATTAGATAGTTGTAATTAATATAGAGTAATGCTTAAATTTAATGCAAATATTTTATGTACATAAATGTTCTACGTAGTCTGTTATAACAATGTATATAATAGCTTCTTGGAAATCATTTGGTACTTTGAAGAAATATCGGAATATTATCTCTAACTTCAATTTTCTTAAAATTCATATAGAAACACAAATAGCTGTTAAACCACGAGAAATCGTTAAAGAGAACTGTAGAATATTGGAATCTGAGGAGAATAATATTAGAAAATATTTAGTCAAATATATTTGCTGAATATTGGCGAAAAGTTATGTAATTTGCAAACTTTATTGTATCCCAATTTGTAACATCAAATCAAGATGGTCATATTGTTGCAAATCCTATTCCTCTTTTCGTTTGATTTGTTCATTTCTAAATCTCTATGCTTATATAAAGTATTAGCTTTTTACCTGATATTTCGTACTCATGTATTTCAGAAGTAAAAAAACGTACGATGAATGAAATACTCGTAAACCATTTCTAGATAGCGTATCAAGATAAAACATATACCTACCAGATATTATGGTAGACGTTCAGAAAAATCGCAACCAATTTAGTGTAGTAGTTTTTGCTTATACATAGACACATTACACTTTATACTTTTAATAGTTTAAAAATATAAAATATTAGTCAAAAAATAATTTATTTCTAATAGTTTGATGACAGTCATTAAAGATAAATCTAAAATAAAATTAAAAGAATTATGACTGCTTATCTATATGTGTTTTTTATGTATCAACTTTTTTTTACATTATGCATAGACAATACAGTTCAATTAAAAATAAAAAAAATTAATTGATAGAGAATTCTTAATTTTAATTAAGTTTGCTAAAATTTTCTTTTTGTATATAGATATTAAAGAACGTTTCTTTTGAAAATAAAATACAGCACTTATGACAAAGGCTAATAATGTAGCAGATAAATAGAGGTATTTTTTAAAATCGGTTAAGTATTTCTTGATTGATAAAATCAAACAAAATTATTTTCTTAAAATATATCTATCACGCCTGCGTCCGATTAAGGTAGGCAGGATCTGATAATATTACAAAAAATATTTAAATTTGCAATTGTGTGTGTCCTCACCGCATGACAATATTCTTTGTGTAATTAATGAACTTCTTCAATGATAATGGCGCCTTATAATTTTTCTATTCCTACTTCATCCAAAAAATTAATCTCGGTAGGCATGATTGATTGTATTTCTTGTTATCATTGTTAATATTTTAAAAAATAATGATTATAAAGAATTGTTCATCTCATATTTTGTGAATGTTGTAAATATTTAAATTAAATATACTATGGAGTATTAACAAGTTGTATTTTATTTAACTAGATTACATTTCTGTTTTGCCAAAGGTTGATTGAGAATGCTATATAACGTTAATCCGCC